CAAAGCAGAGCGTACGTCCCCGCTGGACCGACCGTCTCCATGGGGATGGTTTCCATGGCAGCCAGAGTGGTTTTCTGATACAGCAGCTTCTGGATGTTGGGTCCAGCCGGGCCCTCGGGCTCTGTGATGGAGCTGCGTTTCTTCAGGGGTCGGGGGGCGTGGTGCAGCCGCCGGCGCAGGGCCTCCAGGTCAGCGTCGCTGGGGTTCCTGTGAGGGTTGGACAGGAAGGGGAGGAGCTTGGTGGGGCTGAGCGGTCTCGGGGTGCTGCGTTCTGCAGCTCTCTCGAACACTCTCGCCGTTCACGCGCCCGCCGGGGCAGGCAACTGTCTGTCAGCTAATCCCGTCAGACAGACCGAGACTTTTTGACGGGGCGCCTGTTCTGAGGGAGACACTGAGCTGATGGCCGCCGCTAGCTGGGAAGGACTCGGTTCCATCACACACTGCAGTGCAGGGGGCAAGACGACACCGCACGCTCATGAAACGCCATTAATCAATAATCAGCAACTTTTATAATAATTCATCTTTGAGTCGGACTAACAAAGACGCTTTTGGTGAGTTTCATTTTTTTTCTGTCCACTTTTATCACTTTGGCACTGAGTCTGAGATGTTGCTGTTCTAGTGCGACACCTGGTGGCAGCGAATGTTGTGGACAACCTTTAAGATCTGGTTACGTTATAAGTGAGCTGAATAAGAACGGAGCTAACAGTTGTAGGAACAGTAACAGCAGTATCACCTCTAGGCTGGCTCCGGGGGAGCGTGCCCTGACCCCCTGCTTGGTAGCCCTTCCCGGGCGTGGCCTGCTGGGTGTACATAGAGTAGATGGACGAAGCCGCCAGAGTCTGAGGCTTCTGCAGCATGGGAGGGGGGGCGTCTGAGAGGTCGGGGGTGTACGGCCGTATGGCGGCAGCCGGCGGACTCTCCTGCTTGTTGGGCAGAGGGAGGGTGTGGCTGTGGCTGGAGAGGACACCCGGAGCCCTGAGGTGGCCCCCAACCGGACGCACCTTACCAGGGAAGGTCCCGGTGCTGTAGGGGGGCTTAGAGAAGGTTGGCGGTCCAGTCGAGGAGAACGGTTTGGGCTTACTCGGAACTGGAGGTGGCGCCGCCATCTTGGACAGACCTTTACCCTAAAGGTGAAAGGTTTACACTCACATTATACACACTGGAAATTAATGAAATAACTTTTGTGAACTGACATGTTATTTGTATGTTTAAGAGGTTGGACCTGCATTTTAGAATCGAGAAAGCTCTAAGTCATTGTGAAATATTTCTTCAGTTTTTTCAGTTCCACTGGCGTTTTTTTTTGCTTCACAGCATTTTGTCACTGACCTGTGTCTGTGCTGATGTGATTATGTATTTAACATATAAACTTCAAAATTGACTGGGACTTGAAATGAGGCCAAAAACGGAAAATGTCCCCCAAAAAACTCCTATATTGTCCAAATGGGCCAAGCAGTTGCTGAGATATTGTCCATATAAGTGATTTTTAATGCTAATTATGCTAATTGTCCAACATATGCAAGTTAGCATCTAAATTCTGGAGACCCAAACTGTACATTTCCAAACATTAAACGTTAACATCAGCGTTTCTGGGTTCACAAAGGGGCTCTATTGGCTGGAGAATAGACTATAAAGGAATATATATTATTAACATTGCTAACATGTGATGGTCTAGTTGTTGTCATGGATACAGGCAGTCGTGTTGCAGCTGCGTTAATCATTCAGGTCCTAATTGATTGTTAATATTCAAACACTATTTCTATAGATCAAAGTTTGTACCTGATTGTCTCTAAGCAGGTTCTCTGTGATGTGATTGGTCCGTGAGGGGACAGGGGGCGGGATATCAGAGCCCTTCTGGTCCGTGAAGGTCTTCCCACCTACAGGAAGGAGTAAATGGATGAGTGTGAACTTCCTGCTGGTGAATGCTGATCAGACAGAGTTGTAGAAACGACGGACCTGAGTTGTGGCTGCTGAGACTGGACATGCGAGGCAGCGTGGAGGCGTGGCTGTAACCTCCACTGGACTCAGGAAACGAGCCGCTCCAGTCCGAGAGTTTGGTGATTTTTGATGTGGCGAAACCTGTAAAGAGCAGAGAAACTTCCAGAACGCCGTCGTAGAAGTGTGTGTTTCTTTTTAACTCGAACTTCCTGTACAGTACCTGAGGCTGGTTTGACTGGTCTGGGAGGCGGCTTCAGGGACGAGTCGGGCATGGGCAGGGTGGCGGTGCCGTCCGGGTACGCCGGCTTCACCAGAACCTCCTGGCGGGCCGGCACCGGAGGCCCCTGAGGGCTCATCGTGGAGGAGGATGACTGGATGTACGGCCCCACCGCCGCCACTCTGGAGACCACACCGTGCTGAGGGGCCACGCCATCGGAGGCCACCTGGAGGGACATATAGGTATAACGTCTGCAGGTAGAAGATATTTTTTCTGACTTACTGATTGATTTCGGTTGTGTACACTCACCGGCAGGTTTTCCTTCTGCTGCAGGGCGGCTTTCTTCTTCCAGAGCCGCTGTCGGAGCTCGACCAGCCGTCGGTCCATCGCCGCCACCTCCAGGTTCCTCTTGTTGAGGTTGTCTCTCTGCTGCTGCAGCCGGCCGCTCTGATCCTGGTTCAGCTTGTTCCTCAGCTGCGGAGGTCAGTAAGAAACCGGTAAGAGAGGAGGACGCTAATAATACAGTAATTAGTTGGCTTGTTGCTGTCTGTTAAGCTAGTTAGCAAATTCACTTATAAATGTTGTTTTTATGTTGACCTCATTTCTGAAATGTGTTACCATACTGACAGCTAACCGTTCATCAGTAAATTCATATGCGTGGTTCGTTGTTAATGTTTTTATATTGAGTTGATGAGTTGGATAGAACATTATAAACATCTATTTAAGTATAATATTATGAGTATTATTTTATTAATTATTATTACTATTTACAGATATTTGTTTTGTTGGTCGGACAAAACAAGACATTTGAAGACGTCATCATGAATCTTTAGCTGCAGCCTTAAAGCTCCTTTATTCTGCTCACTGTGTTATTTGTACCGATGCTTCATCCATCTGTGTTCTCACCTGCAGCTCTTTATAGAGGCGCTCCAGCTCAGCTGTGGAGGAGGTGTTGTGGTGATGAGGGGGAGGAGGAAGAGGAGGCTCCAGTCTGTTGCTCCTTAGCGCCTCCAGCTGGTCGCTCAACTCCTCCACCCTCGACACAGCGACCACCAGCTCCCTCTGCTTCTGCTGGAACAGCCCGGTCATCTGCTCGATCTCCTCCACTGTCAACAAACACAGCAAGACTAAATTATTAGCACCAACACGGTACCTGAGTTTCAGTATTTATACCAAAACATTGAACTTTAAATGAGAGGAATGTGATTTAAATCAGGAACTATCTGATCAAAATATAACAATACAATATTACAAACAAACCCGCTGAACTTCGGCTCATGTGACTGAGCAGATGTGAAACTGAAAGGATGAAATAATCACAATTACATTTGAAATGACAATCATCTTAATGTAAATCCTGTAATTTCCATAATGACGACCCCGCATCAGGGTCAAATCTGATCTAATTTAATCTGATCTGATCCATCTGTCAACATACAGGACAGAATGATCACTGCTGACTGGACGTACACTGTATACATCCTGTGATGACTCAGTTTTATTACAAACTCTGTTTTTAGCAGCATTCATTACCCAGAAATCCCGTGAGGTGACTGACAGCAGTAAAGTGTTCTGACTCACAGCCGTGTCAGTGCACATCGTTTAAAAGCTGGGTTTTTATATCTGGTACCTGGGTATTTACTAGTGTTATTGATTCAAGTGCAAACTATTTAAAGTTTACATATTTTGCTATAAAAAAGAAGCACAACGACCAACCTCTACTGGATGAAACCCACTATTGCAATTAAATTTTGCTATTGGCTCATCTGTTGGCAACTTTCATCACCAACCGACCCCTGATGCTATAAAACCACCGTCTCTACTGTGCAGACTGTGTCCTGCTACATAGCCGTTAGCCTGACACTCCGCTACAGACACCGGAGAGTTAGTCTCTCAGAGCCGCTAGCTTAGCTAATGTTACAACACACACAGCACACAGAAACTTTAAAAAACAACGTGAATGTGCTTCTAGTGACTGTAACAGCTCCAACAGACTCTTTGTATGCTCTGTTAGCTCCGTTAGCTGTTAGCTCTGACTACTGGCAGCTGTTCTCCTGCTATTGTGAACGGTGGTCAGTCTATCACTCTGGTCAGTGGTATTTTTGACATGGCGTTTAACGGGGGTGGACAGGTTGCCAAGACTGTTGGTAATCACCTTGATGGATTGTGCGAAATAAAACAATTTCAGACTTTCATTCAACTGAAGAAAGTTTTGTGCCATCAAACAGTTTCACACAAACACTGTCCTCGAGGCGGTTCATGAGACTGATCGAATTGTTTGTTTGTTTGGTTTATTAAGATAAAGCTGTGTGTCATCAGCATAACAGTGGAGGAAAATACCATATTTTTGAATAATTTGGTCGAAGTGAGGCAACTGCATTGCTCGATGTCACTACATCCTACACACTGGCCCTTTTAACTACTATAATTGGGACTTTGAAGCCACCCAGACCTCCGTCACACTGACCTAGTTTGCTGTTGCTGAGGCGTTTCTGCTCCACCTGGCCCCTGAGGGCCCGGACCCGTCGCAGTTTGGCCTCCTGGTTGTGTGCGTTGTCTCTGAGCTGCAGCAGTCGCTCCTGTTCGGAAACCTCCTGCTGCTGCTGCCGCTGATCCTGCAGCTTCAGGTAACGCAGCCGCTGCTCCTGCAACACGCAGAAAACACTCAGTCGGAAAGATGTCGAGGATTCAGACACTTCTTGTGTCCCCGCAGACAACGGAGACAACGGGGGGGTCAGTAAGCAGAGGCGTTTTTCTGGTTAGTGGAGGTAGTTTTAGCTTTAGGTTAACTACCAACCATGTTGCAGCACTAGAAACATAATGGTGTTCCCATCAAACGTCAGTAGTAGCTTACATACAAAGTCAATGCAAAGACGAGAAGAGAGGCAAATTGGTGCCGGGTGATTTGGGCGAACATGCAAAATTTGTGTATTCCCACAAGTTGAAAATATTCAGCTTTGACCAACAAAATCTGCCCGTATGGCGGTGCTTTTGCAGTGTCTCGTTGGCCCACAGACAGCTGCTGGAGCTCGGGGAGCTCTGCAGAAGAGAGCCGGAGCTTCTGGAGGAACAAACGCAGTCACACCATATTCTGCTCTGATCTGGAGACGTTTACTGGCAACAGGAGAGCTCGGAGTTAATTTGGAAAACTTTGGGATTAAATACTGGATTTCTCTTCACCCTGTGTGCACCCGAGCTCTGTGATATTACTTTTTAATATTATATATTATATTTATATAATATTTATACATAGAGCCGACAGAAAAGGAGATTGTTGGAGAAGGAAGGAAATTTGAAAATATGTCTGTTACTTGATTCCAGCTGTCGGTTTTTAAGTTAGCATAGCTCTGATCAACCAAACTCCATTCAGAAAACAAGCAAGTTGTTTGCTCGTCGTCTCGCAGACAGACCAACAAAGTATAAATTCAGAAATGTTATATAGATATTTCAGCATCATTATGATCCATTTATTGACATTAAATCACAGAAACTGTTTATTTTGGGCTCATACTGCTGTAATAAACCAGATTAAAGGCTGAATATGATGATGATCCCATAAGTGAACTCAGTGAGTAAGGTGAGTTTGCAGAAATCAGCAGTAGATGAATTTGATGGGTTTTGTGTATTTGTAGGATTGTACTATCAGCAGTAGCATTAACAGTCCTGTGCTGCACCTTGGAGGCCAGCAGCTGCTGCTGGGCGTTGATCTGCTGTTGCTGTCGGGTTGCCAGATCCTGCAGGTCGCTCAGCGTCATGTCCAGACAAGGAGCTGAGAACTGCAACACAAACACACACACAGAGTCAGAGTTCACCTTCAAATGAAAAAACTTTCAGAGATGCCTACAATGCACCCTTCACACTGTTTTCAACCAACTTTCTGTACATTCAACTGTCAGCACAGGTTGTGCTTCATAGACCTGACTAGAAAGACACTACACTAAAAGGAACACACCTTTGTTTATCCGACTATTTCATGTCAGAATGGCTGCTGTGAAAAAGGTCTATTGTTGTTTGTCTGCAAGGAAAATATTACCTTGTTAGTTAGCATGCTAGCTAACAATAGCTCCAAAGCTAACTGCTACGAAAACCACCATGTGTCTTTTTTTAATTTCTATTTCCAAGCCAACATACATCAGACACACCTGGTGGTGTCGGAAGGTGGATTTTGTTTCACTTTTGATGGAGCTACGCTAGCAGTTTCCCCCTGCTTCCAGTCTTTGTGCTAAGCTAAGCTAAACACGTCCTGGACACTAATTTATGAATCCCACTATGGTGAAGACATGACTCGCCTTGTCCACAGGGGCGTTTTTAGACAGGGGTTGTGTCAATGGCTACACCCTCCTACAACCCCACAAACACTTCTGGCTGCACCTGATTGGACGAACACTTTCTGATTTCAGACCGGACCAACATGGCGGCTCGTTTGGAAACGTTCTCTCTTATTACGAAAGTAGTCCACCAGAAGTGTTAAAATCTCTCTTCTTG